AGCACTTGGTGACTAGTAATGTAAATATAAAACATGAGTGTATAAAATCTAAAACACTTTTCAATAACAAAATGACCAAAGGCCCAACATAAGATACCAAATGCCAATGAAATAGAAACTATAGCAATATAAGGCTCACAGCATATATTTAATATAAAAATATCAAAACACTTACAACTATATAAGGCTAATAAACACTTAAAAGAAAATAAATATGTTATCATTTACGTATTTATATGGCACATTTAATTACAACAGCAGCCTGGACCAAAGTGCAGTACAAAAATACAAAATAACTAGCACCAAATAATAGAGTTGTTCAGTATAACGATATATATCGGATGATGATAAAAAAACGTCTGTCGTTTCATATCACGCTATCGTTTGTTTCGTGGTGTCGCAAAATAAACTGTTTACACCAATATTTTTTCAAGGATTTGACGGCCACTGTGGAATTAACTTCTCTCTTCCTCTTATATTTAAAATAACCACACTACGGACGCAGAAGCGACTGTTCTTATGCGTTGTCGTTAGCAACAACGTCGGTAAAACCATTGCGTGGCTTCGCCGTCCGCTTGTATATTTTCAACATAAACCTTTCATAATAAAGCTGAAGATCCTGTTGAGATTTTTCAAAATAAACTGAATCACGTGAAATAGTATGCAGTGTGTTTACGGACGAGAAGCTAAAAAGAGCCGTCAGGTGTTAAAAAATAAACCTTCGAACAGGCGCAGCATGCCATGTAATCAATACTCACAAAGAAAATTGCTGTTTTATATTGGGATATGAGATTTTGGTCATAACGCACAGCCCTACCAAATAACTACTAATATTAGTACCAAACACCAGTTATGTTGCATCATACGTAGTGGCACATACCAGATGACAGTCACGCAGTTCTTATGATTCAAACCTCTGGCTATTATGATGTCTCCTCTGTGGTGGTCACCAAAATAGCCCGTCTGCAAACGTTGCCGACCGAGCAGGTTATCTGCTAATCTGAACGTTAGCAGTTCCATCCAGTCTATGTCAAATATCCTTGAGCAGATAATACAAGATAATAACCCCAAGTTGCTCTCCGATGCATCCAGTGGTGTGTGAATCTTAGGCACGTTGCATAAAGCACTTTGAGTGCGCAGATAAAGCAGAAAAGTGCTGTAAAAGAACCAGTCAATCAGTGTGCTGTTTAGCTTGTCTTCATATCTGTTGTTGCACTCATTATATAAATGCAGCTGAATCCTTTGTATCTGGAATCAGTGATTTTTTGCATAGGTCTTAAAAGACCAGTTTTGTAAAGTTGATGGGGACCAGTTTGCTGCATAATTTGCACAGTTAAATTTTCTGATCCGTATCAGATTTTTCATAACAATGTCAATGCTACAGAGGAAGCCCCTTGTTTAGGAATGGACACCCCATTTTCTTTTGGCTGGTTCTTTTGTGCTGCTGATGTTTCTGTTGCAAACTGTCATCAAAGTGATGAAAAAGTATTGCAGTAACTGCGTATTTTGTGACAGCAGAGTCTGTGCAATGTCTGTCATTCTGCGCAGACCCACAGCCAAAAGCTGCAGAAGTCTATCAACGGTTCCATCCAGCGTTAACCTGTAGAGCAGGATTAAGTGCTTTAGTTGAAGGATTGTTCTAATGCAAGCCCCCCAAACACAGGCACACACACACACACAAATACAAAATTGTGTAAATGAATCTATGAATCAAAATTGAATCTATGAGTAGCACAGAGGTATATCACAACATCTAGTTAGTTTTCATTTTTATTCATTTAAGTTTAGTTCAGATTAGTGTATGAAATTGGTTTGCTCATATTGGTTTACATGTATGTTTAAGTTTAGTTTGTGTTAGCCTCAGTATTAGTTTTGTTTTTGTAATATTATGAGCTGTTTTTGTCAAAGGACAAATTTAGATGAGTGCGCGAGTCCTCCTCCTGTAGTAGTCGCATCAGATTCGTGCATCAGTGGCTCTCTTTCACTGTAAGTGTGGATAAATGTGATAAATGTTTGGCACATTTTCAGACCTCAA